TCTGATAATGGCACATACATGAGTTTCCTTTGACTTTGAAATGGACAGCACTGAAAAATTGCTTGAAAAATAGCATGAGCTGGCAACCTTAAAGGAGATAACTGGACATCTCCAACTTTTCAAGCATGCATTTTGCACGTTAAAAAATCAGAATCAGGAATTAACTAAAGCAATGTTTCTGAGTCTTAATATTTGTAAAAGTTTCTTTTCCAAATCTTAGTTTAGATGAGTTTAAGTATGATAATGTTCTATGTTAATGTACTTAGAGAGGCAGAATGGCTTTATTTTTATTACATTTATCCATATTCCGTGCAGCAGGGTTTAGCTCTCCACTGATTTGACGACAGCAAAACACTTGGGCGCCACAACAAGAAGCACCATTAAAAATTCCTGGACACGTATATTCAGTTTTCAAATAAGAAACTGGATTGAGGGAAAAGAAACCTTACAGTGTTGCATGTTCTGGCAAGATGAGCTGCTCCCAGGGGCAACATATCCAATCTAATGCCACCAATTTTATAAAACTAAGGTACTGGCTTCAAATATTTTTAAGGAAAAAAATCCTTACAGAGCTTGTTGATGATAACAGGACTCACTGATATTCAAGCCATGTTTAAAATAAGCAGTATTGTGTGAAAAAAAATAATAAATAAAATCATCAGTATCAAGAAGCCCACTTTAGCCTTTAAAAATAGCTTATAATAGGTAGGTAGCTCCTTTTTTTTCCTCCTAAGACTTTTTTACTTCTTGTAAGTGGAATATAAACCTTTCATCAGTAATTTTAGACAACTTTGAGATTCAGGGTCAAGAGTTTGTGTTGAAAATGACTAGAAAGAAATGTCCTGGCCCTACTGCAAAGTGAATTGAACTACAAAAACATTGAACGAATCCTATTTATTGACTTTGTAAATTTGAATATATCTTTTCTCTCCATGTCTCTGATAAACAGGACAATTACCACCCACAATATTATGATGATCAAATGAGGTAAGATATATTGGAACCTGAAACAAATTCAAGTTATTTATATGAATGACAGGTAGCATTTGTTGAGGGTTTACTATATGCCATTTAATCCACATAGCCTCCCTATGAGATAAGCATTCTTATTTTCACTTCTGTTTCATAGAAAGGGGAACAGGCTATGCTAACAAGAGGCAGATCTAGGATTTCAATGAGGCAGTTAATGCTAGAACCCACCTTCTTGGCCCCTACTATGGACTGTCTCAATTGTCAGCAACATTTTTACAATCAACTTGACCTTTGCCAGACATTTATCTCTTGTTTTGATTCTTGCCCAGAACCTGCCACTTATAACCTCCCCTGCTACCTTCTCTCATGCTCCCTTCCTAAGATGTGAGGAAAACAAGCACTCGATGCTTCTAATCTCCGTTTTGCCTTTCTCCATATAATCCTGGATATGGAGTGAAGCTGAGATTATTTCTGGCAGAAGCAACAGAAAAGCATTTTTTTAATCCCAGAAAGTTTGTCCCACCTGTTTTGTTGGGTAATTGTGGCATGAGGCATGCGAATAGAAAGATCACAAGATGGTAAAGTCTTAGAGAGACACACCATTATATGGGGCCATGTAATCCAGTTCACTGAATTGTCACACTCTTTGTTTTCAAGTCCTATTTATTTATAATGCTTCATTATGTTAAGAAATTTGGGGTAAAGAGCAAATAGCCCAGCTTAAAATGGCTTTCTAATTAATTTATATTTTTACATTGGCTACTTTGTGTTTAGCTCCATAAAAATATTTAAAAATTGCCAGTCTCTTTGAGATGACACATTATATACATAGGCAATTAAAATGACACCCAGGGGAACTAGTAACCGCTGGATGTAAGTAGTAGGTACTTGTATGGCTCATCAGGACCAGTTGGATGAGGGGTTGGGCTTTCTTCAGAGGAAGAAAATGACCATCTGTAGATCTGCAAGTTTCTAGTACACTCAATTTTCTGATAAAAGCATAGACTAGGGTTTGTGTTGATGTTAAATCCTGGGAGCTTAGAGGGACTCACTGTGCACCAGATTTTGTGATCTATTTTCCCCCTTCACCTGCCAGTGGAAGGGATATGGAAAACTTTATAGATATTTGTTCGTGGTCATGTCAGTGACAGAATAGAGTTTCATGAAGACTTAAGACACATAGAGGACTGAAGGGCAGACAAAATCAAATTGAAATTTAAGATTCTGCCCTCTGAACTTACTGTGTGAGTTGGTGGGAATATGGAAGTATTTCACAGATCTGTAGAGGTCAATAAACATACTTGACCAATTATAATTGTAATAATGATAAACGTTACTCTAAAGGAGTATCATAGATTTCAAATCCTTCTGTGCTTTTAAATGAAAATGACATTGTCTTTGTTAATAGTATTGGAATACTCAATGCTATAAATTCATTATTGAATAAACATCTTTAGTTGCCAGTTATATCAGACATTTAATACTTAAAATTATTTCTTAATAAGGAAAGAGAAATTAAAAATACTGGAATAAATGTACAGAATATGATAAAAAATAATTACCCCAAGGTCAACCATCCAGAAGAGGCAATCATGTTTTATTATTCTACAGTAAGACCTTCTTTGTGGATATTACTATGAAAGAAATAAAAGTCTTTACTAACTCAAGTCATAAAATGTATCTTCCACTACAGGAAAAGCATATTACGGCCTAAACAAAAAAGTTCTAAGAATCCGATTTCTATTTCACAGAACATTTGCATAAAAATGGGACCTTGGCTGATTCAGAATGTGCCTCTCATTTGCCTCATCTGCTCACTGTGTACCTGAATCCATAAACCTGGCAACTGCCGCTCAACACAGTGCTTTAGGAGCTCAGACAGTGAATAAAAAGTAACAAGCTAACAAATAATCTTACAATCAAGGGTATATTTTCATGTAAATACCTACCTTAATAATGACTAAAATAATGCAATCCTAGAATATGAAACACTAAAAAGTAGGCCTGTAAAAATGTTCCTTTGAAAGGGAAGATTAATTAAAGGACTATGAAAACAGGTTTGTTTAGTATTTCAATGTCTTCATTTTTAACTCTGCATAATTTCTACTTGGATTCATGAGAAAACAAATAACATTTTCATAAATTTCTATTCTATTGTTTTTTTGTGAGATGAAACAAGAAGAGAGATGAAATTTTAAAGGGCAATTCAAGAATTTCTAAGAGTTCAACCATGGTCTGTTAGTCCTACCTATTGCACACCAGTCACCTGTTCTGCCTCTGTTTTGCTCATTTTTTCACACATCTGGTATCTTGGAAATGGTTTATAAAATTAATGTAGGGAACCAAACTGACACAGGAAAACCTCAACTAACTTTATTTTAAACAGCCCAGAGCTGGCCAGTGTACCAATTTAATTGCAGTTACTCACATTTTATATGAAAAATATTCACCTTTTTTGAAGACCTGTAGCTTACTTGTCAAGTAAGGTACAGCATAAATAAGCACAACTCAACAACAGTTTTTTCCAGACTAGAAAGGTTGTGGTGTAAGTCCCTGAACTGATGCCATAAAAATTAACAACGATGCTAACCCAAGTCCGCAACAAAACGATCCACAAATCCCAGGAACAGATACTGATATCTTGATATTTTAAGTTAAAAGTGAGTAGTTACTGCAATTTATTATAAAAACAAAACTGCATTCAACACTTAGTTCCAATAGCTTCTGAAATATCATACTTATTTGGAAATATTCTGGATCATTTCTTCAAAAAAGCTAACCTTGATGACAAATCTTCAAATATGCTAATATAACTTCCAAAATACTATTTTGGGTTGCTTGCTTGATTGTAGCCCAAAGTGTTGGAAATATATATAGATGACATATTTAATGCATAAAATATACATTATAGAATATTGTGCACAGTGTGATCCCACTGTCACAACAATGTGTGCTCAAGAGTGAATTTTTAACAGTAATCATATCTAGAGTGTGTGATTACAAGGGATCTAGTTTCATGCTGTTATTTTCATTTTACCTAATTTTTCTTCTTACCATTTCACATTTTATGTTTAGAATGTGAAACACAAATATAGATATTTATGTTTAAAATTTGAGAGTCATAATATTTCTTCCTCCAAACCTGAAAATAAAATGAAAGGAAAAGTATTGTATGGCTTTTGAAAAAAAAGTTTACTATGAGGAACACTAAATATTACCAAGGTGTTTAACAGCATTCAGAATTATTTTTTAGTTGTGAAACTAAGAATTCTGACATGTTGCTTTGAAGAGAGTCAATAACCATTATTGAAACTATTACATAATTACTTGTCAATTATTATAATTAATTCTTATCTGAAATGAGTTCAACTCATTATATTCTATTTTGCTATTATTCAGAAATTTTGTGTAATTATGTGTTTGTTTTTAATATGATTTTCCACACTGCAGTGCATTTATCTACTTAGAGCAGCAAATTTCAGCCACTGTGCCAGAGGAATTTTTAAGAGAGTCAGGGACACTGACCTCTTTCTCCTAGATTGTCAAATTAAAAGTGACAACAGCCAACATGACAATAGCCATCTGGTGTGAATAAATCAAAATTATCCCTATATTTTTGCCAGACTGTCAATACTATATTATATTTTTTGGTGTCCCATACAATGTTAGCAATTAGTTTATGTGCACCATGAGATTAAAAAGATTGAAAATCACTGACATAGATGTTGAGATTTCTTAATAAGAACAGAAAGACCACAAGACTTAAAATGTCTAATACAAGTGAAAAAAATTTTGACAGAAAATCTATCAAGAAAAAAAAATTCACAATTTTTCCCAAGAGAAATAGCTCTTAGTATAAAAATTTATCTTAAAGACCTGAAAAAAAGTACAACTTTTTTGTACAACTGGTTTGCCCTGAAAAGGTAACAAAGGTCTTCATTTCAGTTGCTCATTACCTACTGGTAGCACTTGCCCCACACATCGAAAGAAATGCTTAAGTAATGAAACAATTTCAGAGAATGACTTACCCTCCTTTAATATAGTCAAGGAATGAAACTTCTGTTTCTACCAAAAAAGAGAGTAAGGTTACCTGGAACAGGAAAAGAAAAACAAGGCAGAATTACCTTCTAGTACTACTTGTAACCCCAAATGGACTTTTTTCTAACTATGAGGGAGAAAATCATACATCCTAGCATTTCAAAATTAAAGATATTATTCCTTATTAAAATCTGCAGGACTGATGGTTCTTACATTTAAAATTATCAGAAAGAAAAGGACCCAAAGTTTTTAATGAATTCATTTCTGGGGCCATTTTACTTCCTTTAAAGAACAGTATAAAAATGATCTACAAGGACACTGTGTTATTTCCCATTTAAGATAAAAGAAAAGATGAAAGAATTGGAAAATGGTCAAAAACTAAAAAATGAAAATCAATGAGCCAAGCTGTATCAGAGGAAATGGTGTTTTGGTCATGGTCGCATGATGAAGCCATCTAATATTTTAAGTATCTCGCTTTACAGAAATCTTTAAAAGGAAAGTTTGAGAAAATGTAGATTTTGCTTTTCCCAAGGAGGATAAATCCTAGGATAAAATCTTCAGTGTATTTTTCATCAAAGTAAGATGGTTTTGATTTTTCACAATTTTAAGATCCTCTCATTTTGCCCCTTCCTATCCTGATTTAGTTCAGCATCCCTACAGAGTTGTAAATTTTAACGCACTGTACACAAGTACTTTCACAGGCCATAAGATGGGCAATAATGCAGTGTAACACATAAAGAATACAGTACTATATAGCAGTACACAGTGCTACCACTCAAATCCTTTCACGTCTGCCTGACTCTCTCCAGAGCGGTTCCACTGAATGAAGGATCCAGACAAAACTTCAGCTTCCCTCAGAAACCCTTACAACCCCTGGAGCAGCCTGAACAAAGCAGGTCACGGCCTCCCCTAAGGTGTTCTCCATTACAAACATTCCGACAGCAAGTTTATTTTTCTGTTATCTACCTTCACATTAAAATTCTAAGTGAAACAGCTCAGTCTTGAGTTACTGCCATTCTGATCAAAAATGGTATTTATTTATTTATCTATTTGCATTCTTAATGAATAACATAGTATTTGACTTACTGTTCCTGAATTGATATATTTTTTCTTTTTTACTTTCTTTTTGGGATTCACCACCTTAAAAAGATGAAACAATTACAGGGTGTTAGGTTTGGAAACTAAAATTATTTCACAACATGCAGCAAATGCCTTTAATATGACTCCTACACAGTCAGGTAGCCAAAACTGCTCCACGGTATTTGCTAGGGATATTCATCTTTAACAACATTTTCTCATCAGTGTTCGCAATCACTTTATGCATTGATTGCCCTTACCCATCTGCGTCTCTTGATGTGAGAAAGACCTTTCATACCCAAGGCTCTAAATAATGATTGCTTTGTAGAAAAAAAAAGTAAGTTGTAAAAGAAGAGTATAGTCAAAAGATAATTTTTCTTTTGGTAGATACACTAGCACAACAAATCACTCAAATATGCAAATATATAAGGGTTCTATTGACTCTATTGCTTTATTCTGGTCATAATTTCCACCAGACACTCAGGCTGCATAATAATTGGTGAAGGTGTGGTTTGTGGACAGAAGACTAAATTTTGGGCTGTTTGTGCCAAGAGAAAATATTCCTGCACTCCTACATTGTCCAAGACACTGGAGAACACAGGGAATACAAAGGTGACTGAGGCCTGTCAATCTAATAGGGTCAATCAAACATGTAAGTGCCTAAGACAGGATCTTTCAGCACATCTCAATCCAAAATATAACAGAAGCATTTTGATTGGAAAAGAAGGATGAAAGAATTTATGAGTGTTATTTCAACTAGAATTTATTAGAGAACTAGGGCTCCAATGAAAAACATATAAATGCAACATTCTAAAGAGAGGGAAAATATCATTGGCTCAGGCTGGCCAGAGAGGAAAGACATAAAGATGAAGAAAGAATACGAAGGCAGGCTGGCATCAGATTCTTTCCCCCCGCACTCCGGTGCCCCTGCACTCTTGCAGATCCTGATAGGGTCCTCTCCTGGGCCCTTCACTCGGGTCCAGCCCCCTCACAGCTGCAATCCACCAACAGTCCTGCGGATCCAGGGTCCCAGGTGGAAGCCATCCTGCCTGCAACCCTATAGATCTTTAAGGGCCCGGCCCTTGCTTCCAGACCCACCCAGGCACAGATTCTGATCTGAGCAGTCTTGCTGCATAGAGACCCATCAGGACACCCTCAGGTCTGCACCTCTGGAGATCCTGAAATATTGCTGTATTTGGCTCTAGCCCCTGCAGTTAGTCAGGAAGCAGTCCAGTGCACGCAGGGGCTTCATGGGAGACAATCTCATCTGTGCCCCCAGAGCCAGGTCCATGGACCTGTCTTGGGTATGGAACCTAAAATAGCCATGGGGCTTCATTTCAGATCCTCTTAGGCATGGTCTGGGACCAGTTCTGCCTACTCAGGGGGGAGCCCTCCCAGGGACCTAGCTGGAGCCACACCTGTCTGTATATCTAGGTATACCTAGTAACAGGTCAGCTACTGAACACCCAACTCTGCACCCTACAGAGGAGCCTTAGACCAGTACCACCTCACTGAACAAGGTACTAGAGCCAGTGTCATATACCTAGGACCAGACAGAATCCATGTCCAACTGAGCCCATGGTAAAAAGCACACCAACCAAAGACCACACTGCAGACCTAGTGATAGACCCCAAACAACTTCCAACCCAGTATGACTGCAATTCTAGAGGTAATGCTATCATCCCAGCAATCAGGCAAAAGCTTTATCTGCCGAAACTAGCCTAGGCTTTTAAAAGCTCAGTCATCTATTAAAAAAAAAAAGCTGGGAATCTAGAAGGTCAAATACACGTGCAGATCTCTATGTGTGGCCAGGGAAGACCTGAGAAAGTCCTAATTCTTAATTTCTGGCTGACGACAAGTCTGTTGAAACAGCCAGTGATCGCCAAGTCAGAGTTTCACACTGTTAGAGCATATACCAAGGAGTGCACCAACATATACAAAGTGGTGATCTGTGGAGGATTATGTGGTGACTGGCAGCAGATGAATCTGAAGTACAAGGAAGGCTAATACATGTGCTATTCCTCCTCCACTTTGAGGCCAAAGGAGAAAACAGCCATCTTTGTAAGTACAACCTGTCTTATGTTAATTTCATCACCTGATTAGAGCCTTCACACTCCTTCCTTGGAGGACCCAGATAGAAAAATTGTTCTATTACTCAACCTTTGTCCTTCACTGGGAAGCTTTCTTGGGTTGAGTTTGCCCCCTACCCAAATATCTCATAGTCCACTAAGTATACTATAATATATAGCATTTTTCAAAATGCACAAAACATAATCCCTGTGTTTGTATTGCCCGTTAACACTGTAACTTTTATTCATCTCTGTTTCTCCAGGGCCTGACACAGAGTGGGAATATAGGCGTCATGTAATAAACATTTTATTTATAAGTTAATGCATGAATGAATACAACATATTCAGGCCAGTAAAAAGAAGGGAGAAAGTGATTTCTCCATTCTCAGCTTTAAAAAAGTCAATTTTAGCATCAATTTGGCAGGGAAATCGTTTCCATTATTGATTAAATATTGAGATATCTGCTATCCCTGTATATTAAATTTAAAAATAAAGAGAATATACAGATAATATAGCCCAAGAGTTAAATGTGCTGAAACATACCATATGCTCAACACATATCTGGTAGTTAAGTGACAAGGTACTGTTAAGGCAGAAATAACTGGTGTGTTTGCTTTCATAACTTGGATTTCTTTAATGACTGAACCATACTTTGCCATTCCCTTCAGTCTTCATCTACACAACAGTGAAAGTGCATGAACACGCTCAGGAGGTCACAGTTCATTTTATAACACCATGTTGACACAACTAAAATTCATATTTTACTCTTTTTATTAAAAAGGGTTTAAGGAGGAGGTTGGTAGGAAGGCAAAACATAAAGCGTGAAGCTTAAAGAAAAAAAACATTCATCCTACTGAATTTTTTAAAAATAAGAAAAAGTTACATAGGCAAGAATTTTAAATGTCATAAAATAGATTTAAAAGACCACATGACTTGAAGAGAAATAATATCATTTAATCTTAGAAACAAGTTTGCTCAATAAGTTTAAAGATGCTTACATATATGGGTACTAAGTTAACCTTTGACAATTATCCTTTCCAAATCTACACTTTTAATGCATAAGTATATTTATTCCAGAGGATAATAATAAAATGATTCCTCTTACCTCATATACATTGAATTGTGATTGCCCTCTAGAAAGTTCCCTATAGCTTGTTGTAAATTCTCCAATGAAATCGTGACTAAAATTAAGGGGAAAAACAGATAGTATTAGTTTCCATATATTTGTCAATTATATATTTTTTAGAAATGTATAGTTTAATCATGAAAAACATGCTTGATATTGTTATAAGGATAGCTTGGATTATATTTAAAAGAGGCTGGTGCATAATTTCATTGTTCTCTAACCCCAAACTTAGTATACTCAAAAATTACATTTTGTTCACATTCAAATATTAATATTTCAAACAGGTATATTAGTTTTAGCAATTCATATCTCAAAAACATTTGGTCTTCTATGCTGTTCAGTTAATTAACTATTTGTTAGGATGAAAGTTTAAGACACTCAGAAATTTTTTATTACCCATATCAATAATCACGGTACACAACAATCACCAAACTTCCCTCCGATCGGGATGCAATAGGACATTTTCTAAAAGGTTGCCTCATATATTAACATGGATAATAGTCACCAAGCCTGATATTCAATATGAATAACTTAAAAGTACATTGCCAATACCAACATTTCTTCACCTTTTTAAAGCAATTGCCACTATCTTCTCAGAGAGCAGGCCTTCTACAGGTGCCTTCTCAGTTTGAGTGGGGAGGGAAAGGATTATGTAAGCGTTTGTTGGTTCCCGCCATAAAATGTTTATTCAGCCTGATAACAGAGACTGACCCACACAACTGTAAAATGTGATGCATTCATCAGTTTAGAGGGGACCCATATTCCATTACTCTGTGCTAATTTAATGGTCAACACCAGGCTGAATGTGCATTGCTGAGAAATAAGGGTGAGATGCTGATATTCAGTGACATGGTGAAATGTAATGCCTCAAAGGAAGAAGATACAGACTGTAGGAGCTAGAGTCCTATAACAAACATAAGAGATCTCGCTGCTACTTTTATCATAGAATTTAAGATCGGCCCATTTGCTCTGCAAATGCAAGCTGTTCGATACTATAAAAATGGACATTTCCCCAAACCCCCACATCAGTTTAATGCTTAGCTGTCAATCACTAAAATCCATAATCCTCCCATAACCTGATGACCAGTGACAAACCACAAAGCAGTTGTCTAGCCAACAAAAATGATTTATAAATAAGAAATGTGGAAGAAAAATCTAGCTGTCATTTCATTTGATTAGAACTTTTGCTATTAGAATCGTTTCTTTAAAAATTCTTTAAAAATAATAATAAAGGACTGTATTTAAAGTATAGCCCTTTAGATAGATATCTAGCTTCCCAGTTCTCCCTATCTCAAAGATCTCACACATATATCACAGTATTCCATACAAGGCATTTCTCTTTACACCAGTATCACCTTGACCTTTCCATATTTAATTTTCAGGAATACATCTATTCACGTGAAAGTGGGTAAAAGAAAATACAATTGAAGGCTGTGATAACTGTTTTTTCATTTATGAGCCCAAACCCCTAGCACTCACTCTTTCATATTATATAAGGAAAATAATAAAACAGTACTTTGGAACTACACATTTCTTAAAAATAATTCTCTTTGACCTTCAGAAGTGCAAACTAAAGCTTGTGATACCTTTCATTCCAGATCTTAAAAACCTGAGTTATGGAGATTCTGTTTAGAACCTTTCTCTTCCTTTGTCGTGTGTGTTGCTGGTATCTTAAGTGATAATCACGGAGATAGGGGTTCTGTTTATAGTACTTCCAACAAACATTTTGACATTGATAAGTATGGACAAGCCCTATATAACTAGAGCTCACCACAGTAGTGGCAGGAATTTAATATGGAGGCCTTAAAAATAATGCCTGGGTCACTTAAGGCCTTATGGTAGTTCTCTGTGCAAATCCTGCCCCCATTTGGTTAATTGTTTACATTCAGTTTGTATTGTTAACATTAAATCCCTGCCACTCAACACTAATCAAAACTTGGTAGAGATGAGCAACATTTACTGTTCTCAGGTAATTGCAATGACTCAGTCAAGACCCAAGTACTACATCCATTTGGATGAAGCCAGTCTAATAGAGTAGCAAGTCTAGACCCAGCTGCAAGTGGTCAGGTTTACTGCACTAAACACTGAACTGCCCGTGTTGAAATCATTGCAGAATTTCCTAAGAAGCAGTTCTTTGATATTTGGTTCTGTTTTTTTCTGGCCAGATTTCATCTTCTACAGAAGTTAGTGATGAACAATAGGGTGCAATTCTCAGTGCTGGGATCTGTGCTTCTTATTTGTGTTTTCTATTCTGAAAGACCCTGTTTATCATGAAATGGAGATTTTCCCTCCCAGTAGAGGGCTTAAATAAGCCAAATTTGTGGCTCATTTCTAGAAGGATATGTCTTCACAAGGTACTACTGTTCCCCACAGACTTTTCAGATAGCTTGCCATTCTTTTTCCCTTTGCTTCAATTTCCTCACATAGTTTATTTTTTAAAAGATTTTATTTATTTACTTTTTTAGAGAGAGAGGGTAAGGGTAGGAGAAAGAGAGGGAGAGAAACATCAATGTGTGAGAGATACATGGTTACCTCTTGCACACCCCCAACTGGGACCTGGCCCACAAGGCAGGCACACACCCTGACAGGGAATCAAACTGACAACCGTTTGGTTCTCAAGCCAGTACTCAATCCACTGAGCCATACCAGCCAGGGCAGATATCCTCACATAGTTTAGTTCACCATGTCTTACTATATGCTTTATACAATAAGCTTATTACATTTTATTATAAACTGCCTTGGATCCTTTTAGAATAAGGTCATAAATAAATTTAAAAATGAATAAAATACTTGCCTCCCCAACTCCCACATACTGAATCTTATTCAAGATTATTTTGAATAAAACACGGAATTTGCATTTCATACAAATGCAGAGCTATTCTTCTTGAGATTTAGAGAGAAAACGTATTAAGTGAGTCACAAATTGCTTTGCAGCGTCTAAGACATTTTTGTGAAATTAAAAAAAAAGCACATCATTGTTTCTATTCAGATCCATTTCCTAGGGAAATGGATAATCAAGAAGTGACAATTTGCTGAAAAATCATAAACATAAGGCAGTGAGTACACAGAAATAAAATAGCCAAACCTAGAAACAAGGTGCCTTGTCTCCAGAATAAGTCATAGAATTTGGGTGGAGAAGTGAGAGATTCTCAGAACAATTTTGTAGCAGACTTCTTAAAATATTGGAAATTTTTAGTTTCCTTCATTACCTGTCCTATTTTAAAAACTGTATATTAGCCCTGGCTGGCGTAGCCCAGTGGATTGAGCGCAGGCTGCGAACCACAGTGTTGCAGGTTCGATTCCCAGTCAGGCCACATACCTGGGTTGCAGGCCACAGCCCCCAGCAACCGCACATCGATGTTTCTCTCTCTCTCTCTCTTTCTCCCTCCCTTCCCTCTCTAAAAATAAATAAATAAAATCTTAAAAAAAACAAAAATAAACTGTATATTAAATTATAAATAAGTACTTTTTTTAAAGTATCAAACATGGTTTTTTCACTTATTTATTCTTATATCTTTTTCCTTATCACAAATTATTCCTAGATTTTATTAAGAGTAAAAGGAGGAAAATTAAATTGTTATCATATTCTGTTCATGATTTTTGATAGTATAATATTGAAACAATTTTTACTATATAGAGAAATATGACAAATAGACTTCAATAATAAATAGCAATTTCCTTTTGATTCATTAATATTGTTTTGCTATTTCCTGTTGACTTAATTGACACTAATTTTCGGTTATAATTCTCAAGCCCTCTGGCTGCATTTATAAAGTTTAATCCATGACTATTTACCTGTTTACATCTCTAATTTTTTCCCAGAATTTTTATAATATATATATATGACTTCAAATCCAAGGAAATAAATTTAAAAAGATATTTAAAGCAAACTGATTAGTACTATAACTAGTTGTTTTGCTCTAAAAAGACTTAAGTGGTTAAATTGTTAAAATCTTATAATCATTTCTACAATCTAAAAATAGTGAGAAAAATAGATATTACATCTGAAACCTGTAGGGCAGTCTCTACCTAACAAATGTGTCCAGGAGGAGATCCAGGAAGGCAGCAGAGTGGCAGTTAAACTCACTTCCTCCCAGGACCAAATCAGAATTACAACTAAACTACAGAACAATCAACCTGAATAACCAGCTGAAGACTAGCTGAATGGAAGTCTTATAACCAAGGGCTTATAAAAGAAGCCACATCAAGACCAGTTGGAGGGCAGAGATGCAAAAAGGGCTTGCCCCAAACCCACATACTGCTGTTAAGAATCTGGAGGGATATCTCAGAGGCAAAGGTCTCTCTGAGGAGCAAGTGGATTCATTCCCAGGCTGGGCTCTCCATCCCAGAGTGCTAAAGCCAGGAAGAAGAACACAAATAACATCTGGCTGTGAAAATCAGCAGAGATTCCATCTACAAGGGAAAGATGGAAGTCTTCTAAAAACCCAAGCACCCTCTTAAAAAAACAATACACCAAAAATCTCCTTCTCAGCCACTTACCCTAGGATCCAGCAGAGGGAAGGCAGGCTAGAAGATTGTGTGGTTTTGAGGAAAGGCTAAAGAAACAGCCACTAAAGTCCCTGTGGTGAGTCCCTCATCCACATTGCCCACAGACATGATCTTTCTTGGGTCAAGACTCCATTTATAAGGCATCAGCCTGAGGGAATGTACTAGCCTCATCCTCCTGATGCCCTGTGACCCAGCCCTGCCAAGCTCATGCCCTGAGGGGAAGTCTGTTGGTTGCCACCAGCCTGGGTCCGCTGTGCATACTTTCTTGAAGGGCTCTTAAGGATTCTGGGTAGACTCTGGGTGTCAGAGACACACAGGAAAAGACTGGGTTGTGGAGTTCTAGGGCAAGGACCACTTCCCCCACCAAGGGAAATCCACCAGCTCAATACTCTTGACTCCCATCCTGCCCTTTTATATGAAACATTTATATGGAAAAGCTGTTTTTTTAAGTTCTAAATATAAAACATGCTTCCACATTTCATTAGCATTTAATTTGGTCTTGATGTATGTATTTTTTCCCATTTCCTTAGAGGCATTTAAACTCTA